AGAAAGGCCCTCGCCTTTATCCAGGTCTTTCAACAGGTCAGCCTGGTATGCCTGGAGCACCGCCATCATTTGCAACGAAGCAAATGCTGCTCAAAATAAAATCCAGGCCTGGTCCTCTCTCCTCCAACACTGTCGTCACTCCTCCCTTTTATCCTTCCAGAGCTCCTCCGTGATACTTGAGACGGGTGAGTGGTGCAGGTGTCGCTCATTATCAATTAATCCACCGGCCTCGCTCCGTTCCCACGGCTCTCGGCCCCGCCCCCACTCGTCACACTCTTATAGCCGTTTTCGCGCATCGCCTCGATGTTGGCATAACTGGTATGCTGGAACCGATGGCTGCGTGAGGCCTCTTCCATTCCTTCTCGATCTCAGTATGGAGATCAGGAAGGAAAGGAAGGCTCACCTGAGCTGGATGGCTATGGCCAGAAAGATAACGTTCATAGAGACGACCTTGCGACGTCACTTCCTTAGTCCGCTTCCACGGCAAATCAAGCCTCGCCGTGGCACGATCCATAACTTCCAAGAGCTCATCATACGCAGGGCAGGAGGATTGGGAAGGCTCAGCCTCAGCTTCTTCACCCTCCTCAGACATTTCCTGCTCTTCCTGGGCTGAACCCAGCAGAGCACTGGCCCCGGATCAGAAGATGTTAAAGAAATAACATCATCCTCCAGCGGCTCATTCTCGTCCACAGCCAACGAGCGCGAGAGGGAAAGCCCCTCTTTAAACTCATCGGCCAGGTCCACCTGCGATCCCCACGAGCTCATTCTCCTCCGTGTCTCAGCAGCGGCGGGTCCTGAACCGCGGGAAGCAGATGGCTGCCCCTCTTTACTCTAAAAAAGAGACAAACGATTGCCCCCTCAGTGCACGCAGATTGCCCCCTCAAGGACATCGCGTGCGTGCTCTTTTCCCAAACAAACAACGCATAGATCGTGTGTGTCATCGGGTGTCAAATAGCGATGACACGGATGCACACATCTTCTAAACGCTACTAGTGCTCGCCATAATGAATGAAAGAGATTGCTTTTACCATGGAAATGTACGCTTCAAACAAAACAGTCAGTGAAGACGAAGAAGAGGATGATGTGTTCTCCCGGCGCCTATTTATACTATAGTCGCACCGGTAGTGACGTCATGGCTGTCGCCGGCCAATGTGTTTTTGGAGTTTTTTCAATGTATGCTTCAGACACGGGTCACGACGAGGCGTTCCCCATAGCGACCCCTAGAGTACGCAGTTCGAAGTTCCCATGAAAGGGAACTGCACACATCCCGCGGAAGAACATTCCAACTGGAGCTACTTCTCTAAGTTTATGTCTATGGCGATTCACGCAGGTATGTGTTACTCCGCAGCGGTGAAGACCCGACCAGGCTACAATAGTCCAAATATAAGTACTTATTATAAGTGTACCGTAGTGATTCGGAATAAGACAAAAACGTGGTTTGGAAGATGAATTCATGATGTACTCGCTCATTATATACATTTTGCAAATTTTGAACACAGAAAAAGTTACATAGTGCTGCTTTAACTAGAGAAACACTGACCCTCAGTGTGAGCAAATGTGAGCTCAGGTTTAGGAATGTCATGGCGGTTTGCTGCCGTGTCAGAATGCTTGTTTACAGGCACGTAGGAACTGGACCAAACCTTGAGACAATGCGACATGTAACCTGAAACACACGGATGTGTGAATCAAACCAATTGCAGCGGTGCCATCTAGTTTGGCATCAGCCTTGCAGCTCTGAGAGTCCAGCTTTGTGAGATCTGGACACTTCATTGTGTTTCTAAAGATCTCTGTTTGCTACCAAACTCCTGTTCCCATGACACAGTTTGAGAGAAGGATTACGCTGCTGTGAACATTTGAAAGGTGTTGACCAGAGCAGCCTGACTTAATCGGACTGTGCGTATCATATGAAGTAGCCTGTCACTTTTTTGCTAAATAGTTATTGCACACTTGTAATTAAAAATGTAATGTTTCCCTGCTGGAAAATTCAGTAAAATGGTAACTTGGAGTATGACAGTTGGTTTTTACTAGTACAAGCTGTATTTTCAAATACAATTCCTGTTCAGAACTTTACAAGTTTTGTAAATAATGTAGAAACTAAAGAAGATATTTTGAGAAATGTCAATGTTTTTTTGTCCATGCACACTGAAAAAAAAATTTGTGTACAAATAATTTTTACTGAATATTTGCTAGTAAAATTCACAATTAATTACCAAAAAAATAAAAATGTTTTGAGAAATGTCAGTGTTTTTTTTGTCCATACACAGTGAAAAAAACAAGCTGTATTTTCAAATACAATTCCTGTTCAGAACTTTACAAGTTTTGTAAATAATGTAGAAACTAAAGAAGATATTTTGAGAAATGTCAATGTTTTTTTTGTCCATGCACACTGAAAAAAAAATTTGTGTACAAATAATTTTTACTGAATATTTGCTAGTAAAATTCACAATTAATTACCAAAAAAATAAAAATGTTTTGAGAAATGTCAATGTTTTTTTTGTCCATGCACACTGAAAAAAAAATTTGTGTACAAATAATTTTTACTGAATATTTGCTAGTAAAATTCACAATTAATTACCAAAAAAATAAAAATGTTTTGAGAAATGTCAGTGTTTTTTTTGTCCATACACAGTGAAAAAAATTGGTGTAGAAACACTTTTCACTGAATATTTGCTAGTAAATTTCACAATTAATCAAAAAAGACAAGTGACAGTGCATTTTGAAGTACAAATACTGAAATAGTATTTTTGTCATTACAATACAAAACTTTTTTACAGTGCAGTGGAAGTCAATGGTAACTGAGACTGTTTGTTTTCATTATTTAAAATAAAGCTGAGGTAAAAATGAAATAAAATAAGACAAAATTAAATAATTATATAAATTTAAAAAACTTAAATGAATATGATAAATGTTGGCTTGTCAGCTAACTGAAATAAAGTAAGTTAAGGCTGAATTACTAAAATGACTGAAACTAAAACAGGAATAAAGTAATTAATAATAAAAAGAAATATAAAAAAAATGACAAAAGCACACAACAAGATTACTAAAAATTAAACTAAAATTAAAATGGAAATTGAAATTGAAAATATAAAAATAAAAGCTAATTTTTATAAATGTCTATATTTATAAATGTCAAGATTTTCAGTGTAAAAGAGCTTAAATTTTGACGACATGGAATATAGTGCAAAAGACGTATGGAACACTTTTATATCATTTTATAGTGCTTTATTATTATTTTGAAGCTTTACATACCCAATTCTCAGTTACCATCATTCTTCAAAATACCTTTCATTTGTGCTCCACAGAAGAAAGAAACTCAAACAGGTCTGTAACGACAAAAGAGTATGCAAATAATTACAGAATTTAAATTTTTGGGTGAACTGTCCCTTTAAGACTGACAAACACTTTCCATCTCTCTGAACATAGCCCCTTAAATTAGGCGAGGTCACCATCATTTTTGTTCAGTAGAGCACAGTTTGCAACTAAAATACTGCTAATAGGCTATCCTTCAGATCTAGTTGAGAGAGAATCGTGGAAGAAAAAGACAGTATAGTAAACACTGTTCTGGCTCATAGATATTATGCTGCAGGCACATAAAGCAGGCTTTGTTTTTTCATTCTCTTTGTTCATGTTACAGCAGAAACCTGTTGAATATTGCATGCAATGATCTCTGGTGTCTTGAGTTACACTAGTGTGGACAGCTTGAGTTTGAGAGAGTCAGGTGGGCTCCTCCCACAGGTGTTCAGGTGTAGTATAAGCCCCGCCCCCTGTCTTGAGCTCTATATTAGTGCACCGTTAGGTACTGACCACAGCTTAATGCTCCTCACATCACACAGCACAGAAGCCGTCCTTCACTACCAAGACCACAGGTATGAGACTTCTTTAACTTCTTTTCTTATGCAGTAGTCTAAGCACATATAAACCAGCCTCTTGTCAAATGGTAAAACCAAATGGAATTATATATGTTGTAATTCACATTAGATTTGGAACATTTTATTCAATTATATAGATTTAAAGGACAGGGATCATAATGAAGGCACTCTGTAATTCTAAACTACAATTCTAAAATTAAAGTTTCCTTTTAATTTTATTCAGGTGTTTTGTAATGACGATAACTGGTTTTAAAGATGTTGAACGTCCACAAATGAATCGTATTGTCTTGTTTGGAGTAAGTCCAATTGTATTTGACAACACAAGAGGCATAGCTCGTCTCCAAGACAGCAAGCCTCGCATCAGAAGAAGGTTAATTGTTTGATGTGCCAACACAAAGCAACAATGCAGTGTCCATTTACATATCATGTGATCTTTATCATTCAACTTTTGTGCATTGTTTGATGCTCTTAATACTTCATTGAGCAGAAGCCATGAAATTAAATTGGACTGTACAAGCATTTCTACTGAAGTCATTTGTCATTTAAAACAACTGTCCATTGCTAGCTAAGACTTGTTTTCTGAGTACACACACACACACACACACACACACATATATATATATATATATATATATATATATATATATATATATTTATGTGTGTGTGTGTGTGTGTGACATTTTTCTTACATTTTAAATTGTATATATATGCACAATATTAACAATCCTTAAAATAGGCTTGATTTTTAAAATTAAATATATCTGGACATTTCTTTGTGAGATTCACTCCTGACATTCACCCCTGTCAGAGTTGGGATTCTGGTCCCAGATCAGCATAAAGAGCTCTTTCAGCCCAGAGCTCTTTAACAGTAGCAGGCTGTCAGACAGTTATCACTTTATGGCAGGAGATAAATGGATTAGGAAGGTGTGAACCAACTCTCTTAAGCAGCCCAGAGTTGAGAAGTCATTTATTACAGAGTTTGGACGTTTACTTCTATCTGTAAAATCCAGCATTGGGGGAGCAATGGAAAATTCTTGGCTTGAAAGGCTTCTTTTAAAAAGTCAATTTGTATAGAGAACATTTTAAGCTGGATATCTTGAGGTTAGGTGGAGATGTGTGATGTTCTTCTACACCAAATATGTGACCCTGGACCACAAAACCAGTCATAAGGGTCAATATTCTGAATAAATATGCTTTCCATTGATGTATTGTTTGTTAGGACAATATTTGGCTGAGATACAACTATTTGAAAATCTGTAATCTTAGGGTGCAAAAAAATCTAAATATTGAGAAAATCGCCTTTAAAGTTGTCCAAATGAAGTTCTTAGCAATGCACATTACTAATCAAAAATTAAGTTTTGATATATTTATGGTAAGAAATTTACAAAATATCTTCATGGAACATGATCTTTACTTAATCTCCTAATGATTTTTGGCATAAAAGAAAAATCTATAATTTTGACCCATACAATGTATTGTTGGCTGTTGCTACAAATATGTCTGTGCTACTTAAAACTGGTTTTGTGCTCCAGGGTCACATATGATTTTCTTTGCACATTGTTGTTACTAGTATTTTTCTGCAAATGTTTCTCAAAATGTGGCAATAATGGGTGGTTTGAGTTTATTCTTATTCTAAAAGCACATTAAATTACTGTTGGATAACTTAGTGTATACCTGTAACATTGTTGCACAATCCATTTCTTACATGTAGGCTATAACCTCTGATGATATTTTTAAAACAAGGCAACTATTTAACTTTTAGTTATAGTTATTCATCAAAAATGTTGAGTGCATACTGAAATACATCTCCTTCTGTCCACAGAGGTCATGTCGTCCAGTCTGTCAGTACGGAGTTTCTCTATGGGCCGACAGCCCTCTTTCTCCAGCTTGTCTCTGAGGGACAGCGGACGTGCCCGATCCAAAGCCGCTGTCTCATTCGCTGCCGCCAAGCCTCTGTCTCGCTCTGCCTCCATGAGCATGTCAGATCTGAACGGCCTGAGCAACCTGTCCCTCAACGGCCTTCATGGCAACAGCACCAATGAGAAAGAGGCCATGCAAAGCCTCAACAGCCGACTCGCCAACTACCTAGACAAGGTCCGCACTCTGGAGAAGTCCAACGCTGACCTGGAGCTGAGGATCAAACAACTGATGCTGGAGCGTGTGCCGAAAGGGCATGATATTGATTCCATGATGGCCCAAGCCCATGCTCTGGAACAGGAAGTATGTGTACAATACCCTTGAGGTCTTTCGAACTTAATGAAAACAAAGATTGTTAGCATGGCTTGTGGTGTGTAGGTATACACATGCACTGAATGTCTGATCATTAGCCATACCAGACACACTAGTTAAATAATTACCTACTGTCAGACTAAACAGTTACCTTTTAACAAAGAAGGAAAGTACCTAAATCTGAATAAATAGCTTTGTAAAAGGGGTCGAAAATCTCAGCTGGTTTCCCAATGGTACTAGGTTCAAACACCATGAAGTGATGAGTTAAGTTTCCATCACAACTGTGTCCTTTCAGAAAAGCAACATAATCCCAGGTTGCTCCATAAGTACCATCTATGATGAGGGTGTCCAATCCTGGAGGAGCACCTTCCTGCAGTGTTTTGCTTTTACGTGCTTCAACTCACATGCCCGAAAGTTTCGAGCGATCCTAAAGTCCTTAATTGGCCTTCATCTTCATGTTCTGTACCTTACAGGTAAGGAAGAAGACCCTGGAGAACGCTCGGATCATGCTTGAGATCGACAACGCTAAGCTGGCTGCAGATGATTTCAGAATCAAGTGAGTGAGAGATGACTTCCTACACCTCTCAAACATCTGCTGAGGAACTTTAGGAGGCATTGATTTGATGTATGCTTGCAGATGGGACACGGAGAGTGCGATGTGTCAGTCGGTGGAGCGGGACTGTGTGGCCCTGAAGAAAGCCAAGTCAGACCATGACCAGATCATCGCCACACTCCGTGGTGACCTGGACAGCCTGAAAGAGGAACTTTACTTCCTGAAGAAGAATCATGAGGAGGTAAGATCTCCACCTGGAAACGAAATGACGAATGCTGCACCTGTTGCTCCTCATTTCTGCATTCCCTCAGTCTGCAAACTGGTTAAAAAGTGCCATGTAATTGTACATGAAGATTAGGACGTGTACCAGTCCAAAGTTCAGTGGTTTTTAGTCCTTTCAACCTTCTGTTGATGTAATCCCCTTTTGTGCATACGTTAATGGAGAAACTGATAGTATAATCTCTTCCATTATAGTTCCATTGTAGTTAGAAGAACCTTTAACTTCCATGGAATCCTTCCATTTCACAAAAGGTTTTTTATAGTGCAAAAAAAGGTTCTTCTAAGAAGGTTCTTTGAGGAACCAAAAATTGTTCCTCAAATGTGCGAAAACCCCTTTTTGGAATCTTTATTTTTTTTTATCTCTGTGACAGGTTTGTCAAACCCTTGAAGAGTCTCATGTGGTGACCTCTACTGTCCATGCTTGGGGTCATTTGTAACTCTATCCATGCGGTTCTTTTATCTCATGAAATCTAAGATGTGCCTCACAGCTAACCTCCTGGCACTGAGTCAAGTGCTGATTGTCATTTTTAGGCCAGAAACTTGCTTTACACAACTACGCAAAGATGCATGGCCAACAAATTCCAAATGCAAAGAAGGTGTACATGTACTTCAATCCTTGTGTTAATTTGAAACTAACAAGTCCTAGTTCATAAGAAGATGATTGAGTTACTATTAAACATCTGTGCCATTGAACCAGAATAAGGTATTTAGTTAGTGTAATAACTTGATCTACCTGGCTCAGCATGCTTCTCTTTAAACTGTAGCTTTGAAATTGACAATAGTTGACATGAAAAAAAATAATGCAATGGTCAATGAGGGCAGTACTGAGAATGCAATGGGTACTTATGTTTTATTCTGAACTGTGTTCGGAAATAGCATGTGTTTGTTGTACTTGCATAGACTATGTTCTAAGCCTTACTTGTCACTGGTGCATTGATGAACCACAAATCAACATGTAAGAAAAAAATACTCAAGAAGTACAGAACTATTCTCATGCTTTCTCACGCATAGACTTTGGGTATATTTGGAAAGAAGGGTGTGGTGTCATGGTTGTCGAATATTCAAAATATGTCTGGCGTGTTTGTCTGTTTTTGTGCGAGGCACATGCATACTTCCCTTGTGAGCAACATGAGACCAACACTATTAATAATGCAATGGTCAATGAGGGCAGTACTGAGAATGCAATGGGTACTTATGTTTTATTCTGAACTGTGTTCGGAAATAGCATGTGTTTGTTGTACTTGCATAGACTATGTTCTAAGCCTTACTTGTCACTGGTGCATTGATGAACCACAAATCAACATGTAAGAAAAAATACTCAAGAAGTACAGAACTATTCTCATGCTTTCTCATGCATAGACTTTGGGTATATTTGGAAAGAAGGGTGTGGTGTCATGGCTGTCGAATATTCAAAATATGTCTGGCGTGTTTGTCTGTTTTTGTGCGAGGCACATGCATACTTCCCTTGTGAGCAACATGAGACCAACACTATTAAATATTAATTGAGAAGAACTTAATAATGAAGTAACTTCCACCGACCTTGTGCTACCACGTGGTATCAAATTCCCAGCATTCACTCCGCAGTCTCAAATCACCACACAAACCACACCCCAGTGTTCAACACACGAAATACACGCACATTTAACCTATCCAAACATGTTAAATATCTCATTAGTCAAAGACGAACAGTTTTTGTTAGTTCCACAGAAAGTTACCAGACAATTTGTTTAGTCGTACAACATCCTTCTCTCATTACTTTTCCCACAGGAAGTAGACAGCCTGAGGGCCCGGGTTGCTCAAGAGGAAGTCAGTGTGGAGGTGGATGCGGCCCACGGGCCAGAGCTGGGGACGGTTCTCTCTGACCTCAGGTCTCAGTATGAAGGCATTGTCCAGAAGAACAAGGAGGAAGCTGAGAGCTGGTACCGTAAAAAGGTTGGTGTTCCCAGAGGATCAGGGTCAGAACCAGTGGCTGCTAGCTCCTATTAAGAGTTTCCTAGACCCAGATCACATTTCACTGACAAAAACACCTGGGTTAAACCCAATTACTATGTATTATTACCATTTAACAACACCTTGTTAAATGATAATATGTAATACCATGATATTTTTGTACATTAAAGCATAGTATTTACATGTTGCTCCAAACTAAGTATTTCAAAACATGTTTTTGGACATGGTACCACAATGGTTTTGGAACGTGAACCCCTACAAATTAAATAAGGCATTTGAAAAATACTGTGGTATTACCATGTTTTTTTTCTATATGTGTGTCTACTTTACTGTCATGTTTTTTTGAACATATGAATACCATGCTTTAATACGATGTATAAATACCATGTCATGGAACTAGTACTTTTGGTAAGTGAAACCATGATATTTACATACTTCAAAATATCATCATGTTTTTTCTTAATATTAGATCACAATATTATCATGGTTTATGAACCATACTGATGCCAGGGTATTTATGTAAGTTAAACCACGTTGAAATCTTAAACCATATGTTACTCTAAGCTACTTTTTGGACAAGGTATTTAAATAAAGTACTTCAAAAATAAAATGGTATTACCATGCTTTAAAAAAAAAAATGGAACCACAATCTGCAAGCTACATCATGCTATTTCAAGGTACTTCATAATAATGTGGTATTACCATGTTTTTTTTCACTTTACTATCATGTTTTGAACATATAAATGTCTTTTTGTAAGCTCGACACTATGGTAGAACGATGGTATTTTTGGTAAGTGAAACCACGGACAAGGTATTTAAATAAAGTACTTCAAAAATAAAATGGTATTACCATGCTTTAAAAAAAAAAATGGAACCACAATCTGCAAGCTACATCATGCTATTTCAAGGTACTTCATAATAATGTGGTATTACCATGTTTTTTTTTCACTTTACTATCATGTTTTGAACATATAAATGTCTTTTTGTAAGCTCGACACTATGGTAGAACGATGGTATTTTTGGTAAGTGAAACCATGGTATTTACATATGGTACTTCAAAAATAATGTGGAATCATCATGTTTTTTTTAAATAATAATAATATACTGACATACTGATACTATACTATTTTTTGTAAGCTAAACCATGGTATGTTACTTTTACTCTATATGTTACTCTAAGGTAATTTTCTTTGGACATGACGTGCAAATGGTAACCATACCTTGGTATTTTTTGCATATAAAACCAAGTCATATGCATGGTACTCCAGGTATACTTTTGGACATAGAGCCATGATAAATATCAATGCTCCATGTTATTGTGACTGATACATCATCATATAAGACTTTGTGCTCATCAGACCTTTAGCAGGATGTATTACTTTCTTCTGTTGCATGGTGGTCTTACATGCAGAGCATTTTTGTAACCCATCCACTGTATGTGTGTGTGTGTGTGTTTAGCTGGAGATGGTGCAGTCGCAGGTGCGAGAGAGTAACGAAGCCCTGAGAGGGGCTCAGAGTGAACTGACCGAGCGACAGCGCTTTCTGCAGACACTGGAAGTGGAACTGGAGAGCCTTCACAAACAGGTCAGAACCAGGCAGGAGGACCCTTTTACGGACCATTTCTGTTCCCTGAGTGAACTTCTTGAGCCGTGGCCAATGCAGATACAGTTACCGTTTAGCAATGGAAAGTAATACCCTGCCCTTTATGTCGAGGGTTTTTTGAATAAGCCAGGCCATAAATGCTCCATCGCATACCTTCACAAGTCAAATGTGAGCGGCAAGAAGCACAGACACAGTTTGTTGTTGGATTATGGAGTAACAAAGGGGTCTGTAGAAACCCTACTACAAGTAATACACATGTAGTAGATCTCCAAAGAGGAACTTTTCCATCAGAACACTCACTTAGAAACAGGTTCGCTTGTTTTCATGACCTTAGAATCTCATGGCAGTCCAAGATCACTCCCAGCATCTCAGATGTAGTTACTATAAACAGGTCACGCTTGTGTAAATAAGCCAAGATGTAAGATGCTCAAATGGGAGTTGTTTAAATGGTAGTAGTTTCTCTGCTGGTACAATTATTTTGAGGGTGCAAGTAGATGCATTAAGGCACCTTTTAATCCCCTAATAATTAAAACGCAAGTTGTTCCAAATCCGTATGACTTGCTTTCCTCAGTGGAACACAAAAGGATGGAGAATATTCACACTGCTCTTTCCTATACAATGAAAACATGCTCTGTATTACATTTTTTTGCAGGAATAGTGGTCTGTGAGTGTTTGTATAAAGGTTTTGCACCTCATTAGCACATGAGCAGTAGCCAAAAAAGCCTCATTGTCCTGACAGTTCACCTTATCACTAACTGGTGGTTGGCAGTTTAAACATGATTACATGTTAAATAAATAGGATCGACTTATTTACTGATGGAATAGCTTCATTTACATGGTAATTATTCACTAAAGACACACAGACAGACCCACATTTACATGTAACACTTTACATCACGCAACAATTCATTTTGAAACCATGCAAAAAAAATAAATAAAAAATCTGTGTGACCAAATGGAATTTTTACACATTGTTTACATTTTAAATATACTATTGTTATTTAAATGTTCATTTTATCTTCAGGCTTTTGATAGTTTTATTGATAATAGAGGGAGGACAGGTTATTGTGCATCTCCCATTTGAGCACCACTGCTTCATGTGTTAATATGTGCACTAACCAAACTATGGCTGTCATTAATCACTCACCCTCATGTCGTTTCAAACCCGCAAGACCTGCATTCATCTTCGGAACATAAATGAAGATATTTCTGATGAAATCTGAGAGCTTTCTGACCCTCCATACACAGCAACACAACTGACACGTTCAAAGCCCAGAATCGTAGTAAAGACATTGTTAAAATAGTCCATGTGACATGTAACTGTCGTGGTACTCTCGTACAACTCTCGTTGTTGAATAAAGTCCTTATTTTTGTTTTCTTAGTGCACAGAAAGTATTCTCGTGTCTTCATAACATTACGGTTGAACCACTGATATCACATGGACTATTTTAACAATATCCGTGAACGTGGCAGTTGTGTTGCAGTCTATGCAGGGTCAGAGAGCTCTGGGATTTCATCAAAAATATCTTAATCTGTGTTCCGAAGATGAATGAAGGCCTTACAGGTTTGGAACGACATGAGAGTAAGTAATTAATGACAGAATTGTCATTTTTTTAACCCCTCTCACAGGTGGCGGCTCTGGAGGGTAACCTGGGTGAGACGGGGCAGAAGTACACCCTGGAGATGGAGCGACTGCAAGCTACCCTGGCCCAGCTGGAGGAAAACCTGTCGCAGCTGCGTCTGGACATGCAGCGCAACAAGACGGACTACGAGCAGCTCCTGCGCATCAAGCAGAACCTGGAGATGGAGATCGCAACCTACAGGAGGCTGCTGGAGGGGGAGGAAACGTGAGTGCAAGAGATTCTTGCAGTTTACTAAATAAAAATGGTCACTATTCACTCACCGTAATGTCCTTCCAGTCTCTTTGTTGTTGTTTCTTGTGACACTGATATTGGTGTCAGAGATTTTAGCAGCTTAATGATTGTTTTGATAATTACATCAGGTTTCTTTTTTTATTTCGCAGGGTTAAAGAGACTCCTCCACCACCTAAGAGTGAGTGCTCACTCATACAAAACATGTCACATGACACATGAAGCACACACTAGAACAAACATGCACAAACTTGATCTGACAAGCTATAGTCAACAAACATTGCCGAAAGATTTGCATAACTAAAAAATATTGCATAAATTAATTTTATTTTTTGGATAAAATCTCCTCCATTCCTGCAAAATTGATAAATAATGTAACAAGGTTGACAGCTTTATGCTTTAGCTATGAAACTGCAAAGTGCTTTTGGAAAGAAAAATTAAATGGGGAAATTTTTATAATTGTGACCCTGGAGCACAAAACCAGTCATACGGGTCAAGTATTTGAAATTTATATGATTTTTATCATTAACGCTGAATAAATAAGCTTTCAAATGATGTATGTTTGTTAGGATAGGACAATATTTGGCTGAGATACAACTATTTGAAAATCTGGAATCTGAGGGTGCAAAAAAATCTAAATATTGAGAAAATCACCTTTAAAGTTGTTCAAATGAATTCTTAGCGATGCGTATTACTAATCAAAAATCAAGCTTTTGATATATTTACAGTAGGAAATGTACAAAATATCTTCATGGAACATGATCTTTAATTAATATCCTAATGATTTTTGGCATAAAAGAAAAATCAATAATTTTGACCCATACAATGTATTTTTGGCTATTGCTACAAATATTGCTCAGCGACTTAAGATTGGTTTTGTGCTCCAGGGTGGACCAGGGTCACAATTAAACCTTCACTATAGAAAATCATGGTAACGGGTGACATTTTTAGATACTAAAAATACTCTACTGACTCACATCAAAATTATTTTTGATTTATGGAATAACTTGTCACTTTAAAAGGAGAACAAATTATGGCAAAATGGTTGATGCATAACCTGGGCACACAACCTCAGCTCTTTTTAATAATACATAAAAAAACATACAGAATAATTTGAGTAAAAATACCAACTTTTGTTTACATCTACACTACTTTTCAAAAGTTTGAGGTCAGGAAGATTTTTTAATGTTTTTAATGTCTCCTGTGTTCATGAAGGCTGCCTTTATTTGATTAAAAAATACAGTAAAAACAGTAATATTGTGAAATATTATTACAAATAAAATTAACTGTTTTCTATTTGAATATATTTTAAAATGTAATTTATTTCTGTGATGCAAAGCTGAATTTTCAGCATCATTACTCCAGTCTTCAGTGTCACTTGAACCATCAGAAATCATTCTAATATGCTTCTCTGCTGCTCAAGAAACACTTATTATTAAACAGTTGTGCTGCTTCATATTTTTGTGGAAACTGTGATTCATTGATGAATCGAAAGTAAAAAAGGGCATTTATTTTAAATAGAAATCTTTTTACTGTAATTGTTGATCAATTTAATGCACCCTTGTTGAATAAAAATATTAACTTCTTTAAAAAATCAAATCTTACTCTAAACTTTTGAAGTAGTGTATTTGTTTTCATCAAAGGTGCGTATTTGCTAATAAAGCAAAAAAAAAGAGTGCTGTCAAATCGATTAATCGCGATTAATCGCATCCAAAATTAAAGTTTGTGTTTACATAATATATGTGTACTGTGTATATTTATATGTATTTATGAATATAAACACATACATGCATTTATTTAACAAATACAAGTAATATATATATCGATTTGACAGCACTAAAAATTCAATAAATTAAAGTGGCAATAAAGTTAGAAAAATGCCTATAATAACTAAAAGATTGCATAATCTTTTGTTCAAGTCCTTTTTTACACATTTCAGGGTGACGTCTATTCAAAAGTTATAAATATTTTGCTCCATGTTTTTATGCACATTCACCTGGAGGTGTCATTGTCACCAATCTGATGTTGGATGTTCAGGACTATACGATACGATACGATACACTTACAAGATTATTATGGTAAGATAGTTCATATGCTTTTTGAAGTGGCTGACCCACAATTTTGGAGCACATTTTTAGTAAGTTCATTAGCTTTGTTTTTAGACTAACAGATAGACTCATATACCAAACCGAATTACAATACTGCAAGACACTCATGATTACAAACATAAAAAACAATAAAAGAATCTGCTTTCTTGCTCCAAACGACCTCAGTCTACGGAGAAAGTAGATTCTTTGCATTTATTTTTTACAGATACTATCTTTATGATCTCTCCATGATAATGTTTTGTCTATCCATACTCCTAAGTACCTATACACCTAAGTACCTATACCTATCTTCATGTATAACAACAGGTGTTTGTGACCATTGTATAAATATGTCAAAATGTTGTGAAGATATGTCCTTATCAATCAAACGCCATTATACTATAAGTTGCACGCAGATAGTTAGCTGTAGGATGAATTATTCAGGCAGAAGTTAGAACCAAAGGGTGGCTTGCCATAAACGAAAGGGAAAGAAACCCTTGAAAAAAGGTGCCTAAAACACTGTTTCTATTGCCATGGACTGACTCACCAGTGAAGTCTGACCTGAACAATAGTATTAATGATGCTAAACACCACTAATTATTCTTAAGTCCACTTGTGGAGTAGAAGATAATGCGCTTGTATGAACTTCTGCCAAAATGCAACATGACTCTTTTTTAAAATGATACGCAAGAGTGAGAGAGACATTTAGCTAGCTGATTAAAAACTTCATCTGAGCGTTCACAGCTAAATGACGCACACTAACCAGTGAAGCAAGCATAATTAATATGCGTGAAAAATAAAATCACCCAGCGTGACACAAGCATGTCTATGTACCGGTGAGATACAACAGTTACCGGTAATCTTTAACTCTCTTACTGCCCTGAAATGAGACAATGAACTTTATAAGGGAAATACCCCACATCCATCCATTCTTCCCTGTCAAAACAACATGCAGAATAAGGACTATAATATGTAAAATCTGCATGTTATTGTTGCTAAAGAGCTTTTAAGTCTTTAAAAGCCACTGGAGTTGTTAGCTTCACTGCTAAGATTAGCACAGGCTTATGCTATGATAACAGACTTACATAAGCAGCCTAGACAGATGTGTAGGATAAAGCATTATTTCAACTGTGAAAATTGTAGCTCCAAATGTTAGTGAAGAATCTACATAAACAGCATTTTAAGGCACACATGCACAGTGCAAAGGTTTGGGAATATGATATGTGTATGATGCCTGTTTTACAATCGGTTTTGATTTTAAAAGTCGTGTAGTGTATTCCAGTCTTTATGCAAGTTACCTAATCAGATTACTTTTTTCAAGTAGTAAAGTACCACATTATTTTTTATCATTATTTGTGATCACATTACTCGTACCTCAAACATACATTTTAAAACAGATTCGTTTTTATTAATAACATATTTTACAGATACTATCTTTATGATCTCTCCATGATAATGTTTTGTCTATCCATACTCCTAAGTACCTATACACCTAAGTACCTATACCTATCTTCATGTATAACAACAGGTGTTTGTGACCATTGTATAAATATGTCAAAATGTTGTGAAGATATGTCCTTATCAATCAAACGCCATTATACTATAAGTTGCACGCAGATAGTTAGCTGTAGGATGAATTATTCAGGCAGAAGTTAGAACCAAAGGGTGGCTTGCCATAAACGAAAGGGAAAGAAACCCTTGAAAAAAGGTGCCTAAAACACTGTTTCTATTGCCATGGACTGACTCACCAGTGAAGTCTGACCTGAACAATAGTATTAATGATGCTAAACACCACTAATTATTCTTAAGTCCACTTGTGGAGTAGAAGATAGTGCGCTTGTATGAATTGTCAAAATGCAACATGACTCTTTTTTAAAATGATACGCAAGAGTGAGAGAGACATTTAGCTAGCTGATTAAAAACTTCATCTGAGCGTTCACAGCTAAATGACGCACACTAACCAGTGAAGCAAGCATAATTAATATGCGTGAAAAATAAAATCACCCAGCGTGACACAAGCATGTCTATGTACCGGTGAGATACAACAGTTACCGGTAATCTTTAACTCTCTTACTGCCCTGAAATGAGACAATGAACTTTATAAGGGAAATACCCCACATCCATCCATTCTTCCCTGTCAAAACAACATGCAGAATAAGGACTATAATATGTAAAATCTGCATGTTATTGTTGCTAAAGAGCTTTTAAGTCTTTAAAAGCCACTGGAGTTGTTAGCTTCACTGCTAAGATTAGCACAGGCTTATGCTATGATAACAGACTTACATAAGCAGCCTAGACAGATGTGTAGGATAAAGCATTATTTCAACTGTGAAAATTGTAGCTCCAAATGTTAGTGAAGAATCTACATAAACAGCATTTTAAGGCACACATGCACAGTGCAAAGGTTTGGGAATATGATATGTGTATGATGCCTGTTTTACAATCGGTTTTGATTTTAAAAGTCGTGTAGTGTATTCCAGTCTTTATGCAAGTTACCTAATCAGATTACTTTTTTCAAGTAGTAAAGTACCACATTATTTTTTATCATTATTTGTGATCACATTACTCGTACCTCAAACATACATTTTAAAACAGATTCGTTTTTATTAATAACATACAAGCAAGTAGCTACATAATGACAACAACTACCCACTTGATGATTAATCTGGTTCATATAACAAATTGCTTCAAATTTATGTAAAAAAAAAGTTCTTTAGATTATTTCAAATGTTCTTCACACTAAGAAAAATGCATGGGGTAATGCTTTATTTTACAGTGTCCCTGTTACACATCTCACATGTACTTGATAACAGTAAATTATGCATAATTAAGCAAATAACCCTATTGTGTAGTAAGTACGTGTAGTTAATTAATATTTCCCAGTACTTAAACGTACAATCTCACAGTAACAATGAGAGCTGTTCACTGAAAGGTTCTTTGGGGAACCCAAAATGTTTCTTCTACACTCTTAAAAATAAAGGTGCTTCAAAAGGTTCTTCAAGCGATGCCATTGAAGAACCATTTTTGGTTCCACAAAGAGCCATTCAGTCAAAGGTTCTTTAAAGAACCATCTCTTTCTGACCTTTTTATAATCTGAGGAACCTAAGGGTGCTATGCAACCTTTGTGAAACAGAA